TTTATTTTTTGATTGTTGCTTGTTGTTGTTTCGTGGTAATTTCAGTTTTTCCCTTAATATAATTGTTAGTTTTTCAGCCATTCTTTTTCAATTTTTTTTTTCAATTTTTATTGTTATGTATTTTTCACAGATTCTTTCAGAGATTTAAAATCATTTCATATCATATTACACAATGGAAGTCCGAACTAACGACATGCACCTCGAAACATTGTCAACCACCTTCAAACAAACATGGCAGGTAATGTTGATAGGGACGGCACTGACGAACACTAAGTAAACCTCACCACGTATTTTTAAGGGTACTCTGCATATACCAAAATTGAAAGAAATAGCCGAAGCGATATCAGAGATATTAGGGAACAAATGTTTTCTTGTGGAATTCAAACATCCTGTATCTCAGAAATAAAAAAAAAATCTCAAAATGATTCAAGGATTATAATCGTTCAGAATCACTTTTCAATTATGAAATACTCTGTATCTGTAGAGTAGGAAGGGTGAGTGTAGGCTAAAACACTTAGGCCACATATGACCCATTGTACATCCTCCCAAGGAGTTGTCCTTCTAGGTAATCGTCCATCCTGTCCTTTGCAGGAAGGTGGTTAGGTCTTTGCGAGACATCTCCTTCACATCAGCAGGTGTAGGCCAAGACTCGCTGAACACACACTCTCTTATTGACGACAACTTTGGACATTCGCATAGGACATGCCTGACAGTTTAATCTTTCTGTTCACACATCCTGCATAGAGGTGTGTCCACTAGCCCCATATTGTGGAGGTGTTTCCTTATGCTAGTTGCACACACACCGATTTTGGAAGGCCGACTTTGTACCGGTCGTCCAAATGTTGGAACGGGACCTTGCACACACGCCGACCGGTGATCGTCGCCGGTAAAATACCGGTGAGCAGCCGTCCACTGCCACTGTATCGCCGGTAGTATCGGGAAGTAGTGGCGTACATGACTAAATACACTCTTGCATACTCACCGGTTTTTTACCGACCATTTCAGTCTCGAATGCTCGGTGAAATTGTAGTTACTACGCAATAACTTCGTTTTGGTAGTGCGTGCTAATTACGACAACAAAGCAACTGATTGTTTGACCGATAACAATCCGGTGAGTGTGCAAGCACCCGCTACCAATAAAATATCGGCCGATTTTATACTGGCCGTCCAAAATCGGTGTGTGTGCAACTAGCGAATGGTAGGTAAAAAACCGGTGAGTATGCAAGAGTGTATTTACTCATGTACGCCACTACTTCCCGGTACTGCCGGCGATACAGTGGCAGTGGACGGCTGCTCACCGGTGACGATCACCGGTTGGTGTGTGTGCAAGGTCCCGTTCCCACATGTGGTTCACTATTGGAATTTGGACGACCGGTACAAAATCGGCCGTCCAAAATCGGCCGATATTTTATTGGTAGGCGTATATTTTTCCTGGTCATTGCCAGATATTTTTTCGGCGCCAGCTTCCCAGGGTCACCCAGGGTGATCCTGGCAAGATTGCATCATTTGATTTCATCCCATCTCTTCAGGGATTGAGCATAGGTGTGACATTTGTCTAGTTCCGCAATTATCGAAGTCATTAGGCCGTAAGTGTCACTGGGCCTAAAATTCTTAATCTTCGCTTCCCTTCCTAACCTGAAGAGTTGGCAATGCGATTATCTTTACTCCTGACGTGCCCTCCAACCCACCTCAGAATTATGCCACCTAGAGAAACACTCTGTATATTTCTTACTATTTTTTGGGTATATAATCTTCCACAATCTAAGAAATGAACAAAAATTAATCAACAGAGAACTGATGGAGTCTAATGAAGGGCAAACTGAAAAGTTCACTCGGAAAAATTAAATTAGTGCGTTGTAGTGCATTGTAGAGTCCAATAATTAGTCATTACCTTGTATTCATAAATTTCGTCCACAAATCAATTCGATGTCATTACCATGTCATCGCCCCAAGGCAAGTGTCTTTATTTAGTATTTTGTGTAGAAATCCTTTGAATGATATCTGATTTGATTCCATAATGAATGTAAGAATACAAATTGAGTGGAAAAAAGTGTTTTCTGTATTATTTGGTGTTCATATGAAAATATTTGTTGAGAGAAAATGTTTCTTTCGTATAATTCAATGTTTATAGGAAACTAGCTGTTTCAGGAAGACACATCTATGTATAAAGTTACTTCAATCAAAATTGATTAGTTCCTTCCTTTCTTTGAAAGATTCCCACATTTTCTGTATTAAGATGGAGTAGTAGAAAGCCAAAAACGTTCTTTAAATCTTAGCGATGATTATATGGACTATGTTTAGATGGCGTTAATTCTCAGCGAATTTTGCATTTTGCTTTTTCATATGAAGGAAGTCTTTTCGAAAGTAGTTATTATTTCGTGTAATGCAATGTTTATGTTGAAGATCAAAAATAGTTACAGGCATGATCCACATATTTTTGATATCAGTTGCTTTCCGTTTTCCTTCGGAAGTTTCCAACAGTTTTCGTAAAAAGATAGAGAAGTAAATCAACTTATAGATTCAGGGTAGCATCAGAATTTACATCAGCTGAATTTCATACGTAATTTTCCGCTAATCTTCAGACAGATTTCGATTCGTGTTCCTGATTGAACCTAAGGAAACGTTAAAACACGAATTCTTTTGTGTCACGAAGAATGAAACACTTTCCCGAGCCATTCATTGCCATACTGAAGTTTACTCGAGAAACTTCTTTAGAAATTGCAATAAAAGCGCCCCTTCCTACGAAATGTTACGCACTCATCAGATTTATCAAAGTGTCACTGTTTTGTGAAGAACTCTCTGCTACTCCCATTATGCGAAATGAAATACGACTGTGGAAAAATGCTAAAGGGGTGATTCGAAGAAAAGTAATCAGTAGAAATAGTACAATATGTTAGCAATAATTATTCTTAGTTTTTAATATTTCGATCGTTTATTTAGAATACTATTTAGGTGATTGAATATTTTGATATGGAAAATCTAGCTCTTGTTTTTTTGAACAACGGACATACTTTTTTCGTAATTTTTTCATGAAAACCCACAATACTAGAAGTGGGTAAAGTTGGAGGTATTCAATAAATTCCTCAGAGGTTGTTTCCAAACCATTTTATAACGAAGAACTTTATGAAAGTGGAGACAAGGCAAATTTCCAGTTCTTCACAATAAGTTGGCATGTGAATTCGATAGATTTTCCACCAAGTAAAATATGCTGTTTTTCATTTACACATCGTTCCTGATAACATTGAAGATTTAAAAAAAGCTCCTTCAAAAACATTTTCTAAATTGATTCTCACCTTTTGAAAGCATTGATGTCCGTTTCAGCTGCTTCAATTATCTGTGAATGATATGTCTCAAGCAGTGAAACTTGATAGTATATCAACTTGCTGATGACACATCGGTTATTGTTACAGGAAATAATATATCCGAGCAATAACAATAAATCAGATATCAATAAAAATCAGATATCATTCACATGAGTTCTACTTTAAGTGAATGGTAACAAATTGCAACTTACATGGAACACTGTCATCCTCACTGGTATACATCAATGTTTCGTCTTAAGACACTTGCCCTAAGGCTCTTCAGTACCAAAATGGATAACGTTATAGAAATTACACACAATTCATTCATGAATTACGATATCTGATTTTTATTCCACAACGAATATTTGAAATACAAACTGAGTAGAGAAAAGTATCTTCTGTATAATTCAGTGTTCATATAGAAGTGTTTGTTTCGAAAGGATTTTTTTCTTTCGTGTTATTCAATGTTTATATGAGAGTAGCTGTTTCAGGAGGACTTTCTTTCAGTTTGTGTCTGAAAATTACTTCTTTGCATGATCTACACATCCATGTATAGAGTTACCTATTTTCAAATTGATTACTCCCTTCCTTTCTTTGGAAGATTCCCTCATCCTTTTTTTTGTATCAAGATGGAGTAGTAAAAAGCCAAAAACTTAATATTCTCATTCCTAATAATTTATAAATTTTATAAATACATTTTGACTTGTCCCTGATATTGTGTTGATGTGTTGACGATGTGTTGATCGTTTTGCAATAAAAGTATTATCATTATTATATTTCAACCCTTTAAATATGAATATCAGGTATTGAAAGAAATCAGGTCCTTGGTGAGCAGTTGAATTCTTCGGCCAAAAATTCTTACCGACATTTTCACTCAGAATAACAATCTTCACTAAATTAGTAAATCTTCGACTTTCCAAAAAAACATTGATTTGGAGTTCATTGTCCTTCCGTATGAAAAAAAGACGGATTAGATAACATTTTAAAAAAGGTGAACTTGAAACTAGCGTTCAGGACTTCTTGCTCACATCAACAAATGTTAGGCAACCCTCAAAACAACATATTGGAAAATGGAAAAAAAAAATATCAGTCATACTAAGCGAGCTATTGAAACGCGTTTCAAAGAACACGCAGAACATATCCGTTTTCTGAAACCAGAAAAATATATTGTCGCTTGACAGGCTTTGAAGCATCGTCATAAGATGGATAAAAACTGTATGAAATTGTTGAAATTGGTACATCGGAAGAACTCTTGAATCTGTTCAAAATCTGTTTTTCCGCTAACCAGCTGTCGCACCCCTACGAACAAAATCTCTCAGAAGTCGAAACTTGCGTGAGCTGAGGACTAACGAGGTCTCACTTTTTAACGTGTGATTTCTAACACGGGTTGGACGATAGCAAGTGAAAATCGATCCTTCAGCCTGGAGCTTGAACCAGCGAATATAAATAGAGATCAATTTCAGAATTGAGAATTGGTTTATTTCATCTCCTAAAAAAGCCAATTTTGTTGGTGAAATGCCAGTCGATAATAGTACTGCAGCTCTGGTGTTTGAGATTTAGAGGACTGAAGTTCTGTTGGTATTTGATCTCTTCAGTCTTCAATCTCCAATCAACCATGCACCTGCAATATTTTTTTATATTTCACATGGAGTTTTCGAACACAAGTTGGTTGATAAAAATAAAATATCATCTAATCAGTTGAATAATGTTCAATATTGATTGATGTTCTCTCGAACAGGTATTCAATACCCATATCAAATTCAGTTTCAATGATTGTGCAACTGAGGATATGAATCTCATGATATCGTATCTTTCGCAGTAGTTATTTTGATGAACTGAGAATGAATTTTGAAGTACTGCAGTTTTTTGATTACACTCTATTAGTGGTATGTACTGGTGAGTAGTTTTTCAATTTTGAAGTTAATATTTTCATATTTAGAAAAAAAACTGTTTAAAAAATTTTTGAGGCGTTATTGAAAATTGTCATCAGTACTACACTTATGATTACATTGAAGATGTTTTTACAAATTCGAAAAATATGTGTACTTAATTCAAAACATAGTTTTCTCACGTACTCTACACATTTTTTCAATATCTTCTTTTATCAATGAAATCAATGAAAACTACAAAGAATTTCAATAGTTTCCAAAATAACTGAGAAAGTAAAAGACCTTCCTTGTCTTCAAAAGTATGAATTGCAACTTGTATAATACGTTTGGTCTATATCCATATCCTGAAGAAGTTACTTCAGGATACACCCTAGAGGTTTTCGCGCCCTAGGAAATTCATAAAATTTGGTGCTCCCACAGAATTTTCCATGTTTTAATGATGAAAATCCATTCAGAAACATACTACAAAAAAAGATACTTCCATTTGATTCAACTATTCATCTATTTCAGTACCGGACAGGCGGTGTTCGATTGAAGATAAATTGTAGAGAATCATGCCAAATCCTCATCATAATTACTGTATGAAAGCAAACGAGACATAAGTGGATTCACCTGGTGGTTTTATACTCAAGTTTGCTAACCCAATTTTTCACGATGTTTCACATCGGGTTGTTGATACTATGACTGTGACGTTTTTGCATTGATCTGTCTCATCCAGTGACGAACGGAAAAAATACTAAATAGATGGGGAAACATTGACTTCAAGTGTATTGCTAGTATTTGAAAACTATATTCACAAATGATAATTAAATTATTATTAATTATATAAAAAAGGCACAATGCGTCCACCGATGGATTTGCTAAAAGGAGAACAATCTTTGTTATTGATTTTATTACAAACTGTTATTTTTATTGAAAAATTTCATCTTTTGGAGATGAAGTTATGAAACGAGAGAATGTTTCATGAGAAAAGTAGGTACCATTATCATTTGACAGATTCAGAATTAAACAACCTTGTAGGGAAAATCTCCCAATCCCTTGATAACAAGGAGATTGCGGTTGCTGTATTTCTTGATATCGAAGAAGCATTTGACAATGCACTACATAAATCTATAGGAACATTTCTGGCTAGGAAAGGTATAGAATCGACCATAACTGGCTGGATCTATGCCATGCAGGTAAACATAACTGAAACTACGACTCTTCAAGGTGAGGCCATTAGGTTCTGGGTCACCAGATGCTGCCCTCAAGGTGGGGTACTATCTCCCCTTCTGTAGTCGTTCCTGATGGATAGTCTGCTTGATGCCCTCGACAGAAGAAAATTAGATCTACAAGCTTACGCAGATGACCTTGTCATCTTGGTAAGGTCCACGTTGGGAAGGGTAGCTTGTTATATCCTCCAAAGTACGATGGACGTTGTTCATGGTGCCTAAAGAATCAGATGTCTGTCTGTCCCAGCAAAACTGTGAAATTCTCCTCTACTAGGAGGAGAAAATTGGATGATCTAACGCCACTTTCCCTCAATGGTGAGGTCATTTCATTTAGAAAGGGGGTGAAATATCTTGGCATGGTCCCTGATGAAAAACTCACCTGAAACACTTTTACACAAAGCCAAACTGTCCCTATGGACATGTCGAAGGTTGTGGTAAAATTTGGGGTTAAGGTCCCAAAAAAATTCATTGGATAAATGTGATGATTGTCAGACCAATGATCACTTATGGAACACTTGCCTGGTGGAAGAAGGCTTTACAGAAAACGGCTTAGGCGAAGTTCTCTGGCTTACAAAGACAGGCTTGTCCGGTCATCAGTGGTGACATCCGTACCACATAGTCAGTGGTCATGGATATCTTTCTAGATCTACCACCTCTCCGCATTTTTCTTGAGAGAGAGGCTAGATAGATTGCATATATACTTGTACGCATTGCCAACTGCAGACATCAATTTAATGCAGAGTGCAATTTTTGGTTTACACTGGAAGTCACAGCATTCTGGAAATTACCTCTGACTTTATGCCTCCAACTGTCAACTACGAACTGCCTTATAAAGTACTGCTTCAGAGTAGAGAGGACTGGATTCTCCGGTAGAAGGAAATATTAGGAGCAAATAGTTCTTGTTTCAAAGATGGATCAAAAATACCTTCCGATTCCGGTGCAGGTATTTTCAGTCGCAGACCCAGGACAGAGATATCAATCTCCCTAGGAGTTTGATATCTCTGTATTCTACTGTATTTCAAGCGGAAATTTTCGCTATTGAATTGTGTCTGAAATCAATGAAAATATTCTCGGACAGTCAAGAGGCGTTGGAAGCACTTGACTCCTACCAAGAAACGTCTAAATTGGTAGCAAATTGCCAATTGTCTCTGGTTTGGATCTCTGGCGATACTGGCCTGGAAGGCAATAAGGCTGCTGACTCCCTTGCAAAGGAGGGATGAACTACGATTTTCTAACAGGCCTTCTTGCAGGTCACTGTCATTTGAATTATCATATGCAGAGATTCGGACTGTCGAAAGACAGTATATGTCGCCTCTGTTTGGAAAATGATGAAACAGTAGAGCACATACTTTGTGCCCGCCCCGCTGGGGACCGAATCAGGTTTTCAGAGTTCGGCAGAGCCGTACTCTTATCATCTGACCTGAAAGACCACTCATCCTACAAAGTAATCGGCTTCGTTGAGAAGCTGGGTTTGTTTGGTCGAGTTTGAATAGGTGTGAGCCACAATAAACCTTTGCGGGTTGCGGTGGAGAGTCGAATAGACCCACTCACTTTGGAACTAACCTAACCTAACCTACCTTGAATATTTGTGAAATTCTTCAAATAATCACAAAAAGAATTAATTACATGAACCACTACCACCGCAAAAAGTTTGTAAATTACTTACAGTATTGTATTATTCATAATCGTTTGAAGAAAACTCGTCGGATGATGAGCAATAATCGCGATCGCTATTATTCAAGGTAATAAATAATCAATGATTCACTTGCAATGTCCATTCTAGTGTCGAGATCCCACTTTTTTTCTTTTTCTTTTATCGTGTGTCTAATGCATTTTTGATTGAATAGAACTTGGCCGATACTCATTAACACAGTTTATTGTATGATTCCCACTATATAGGGTTTTACGAAAAAGCGGTTTTTGTAAAACTCTTTATAGAGAAAATCATACAAAAAACTGTATTGATGAGTTTTCAAGCATTTTTCCCATAACTGCAACATTTTGTCTCGCAGTAGTGGGCCTTTTACCTCATCCACTTCGAAGTCAAGTTTTCCTTTCAATATTGAATAATTGGGCTTTCAACATTGTATCGTCGAATGTTGATTTTTTTTGAGAAAGCCAGTTGATGATATTAGCTTTTTGCCAGGCAGTTGTTGGTGACTGATCCAATTGTCTGCTATAATAGGAGGCATTGAACATGACGAGTTTGGTTCAAGGTTAATTCTTTCTACCTTCAAGTAATTTTTCGCCACAAAACAATTTCTTCTATTTCTATAAGAGTACTTATACAACCTTTTTTCATTGATTTATTGTTCATTTGCTTCAATGTGCCCAATAAAACACGTCGTGATATTTTGGGCATCGATTCATCGGAACTCATTTCAGCGGCGACTTTTGTTAAGGTTGGGATTTCATTTCAGAAAAAGAACAAATGGAATTTCCTAAGAATAGCATATTTGGTGCAATCATCAAACTGAATTTGTTGTTTTCTTCCTCTAGTTTTGAAGTCTTCAAATACATCATATTTACCTTTATTTTCTTCACAGTTTTTGAGAATTCTGTGAACATTTCTCGTCGACACTTCAGTTAAATCACTACTCAGATCAAATACGTCGTTATGCAACAAATTTTCATTCCGTTCACGGACCCCCCAATACACAATGTATATAGTAGTTTTTTCTCTTTCAGACAAATTCGGACGTCTGCGTTTGCTTTGAGTGCTTTCACTTTCCCTATCGCTCAGAATTCACAGTAAAAAATTGAACTGATTTATAATGATATTTTCCATGTTTCAGTCCTCAAACAAAACCATTGGCTTTCCCCTGGTATAAAGTTTTTTTTTTACTTTTTCCTACAAATGTAGGTATCTGACATTGTGACGTCGTTTACATTATAATGTTATGTTTTTCCCCATAGTTTGGCCAATAACTGACTACACTGAATAATCAAACCTAACTTTATTTCACTTTAAATACAACGAATACTTCAACTAAACTTCAACTATTATTTGAATGTGTATCGCTTCACTAGACCACTTCGCGTACCACACTGTAACGTACACTTGGCTGTTTCGTGGCTAGCCTTTAAATATTGTAATCAAATGTCGTAAAAATTTCTTTGAAGTTCTGTCGGAGTCGGTAGCATTATTCTCGCTGCTTCTCGAGTGGCGGGGAATCAGCATGCATTCGTGCGATCTTAGCAACGTCACGCTCGTTTTATGGTTTCCAGTGGCGGCCGGCGTTATTTTCTTCTGGGCATGATTTATAACAAAATAACACTAGTAGTAAGTTTCTTTTATGGATAAAACACGTTGTTCTTGTGACCATTCAGCTGCATGTGTAGGTATGATTCAATTAGGAGAAGATGAAATATATAAAATCACAACCTGACAACCATATTTTTGTTTTCGTGCAATAATATTTCTGAGAATCTAGTGCCTACAGAAATTCGGAGCAGAAATATGGGAAGCTCTCCAGGAATGCCATTGGAAACCAAATCCACATATCTTTCTGAAAAGACATAAAATGAAGGAAAGTTGAAGCAGTGGTTCATCTATCCATTTCCTCATATGAATCCTGGCAGTTCAACTGCGTTAATCTTTCTTTATTCTATGCCTCCCTAGGAACATATGTGGGTTGGGTCTCTAATAATATTCTTGGAGAGCCTTCCATATTTCTGCCAAATCGGTTGTCGGTATCAGCGATTGGTAATACTACAAAAACGACGTTGAAAATTGGGCTGGCAAACGTGATTGTCAAACCACTAGGTGCTTTCATTATATTGATTTCAATTGATGTTTCCGGTCCATCAGATAATTTTCTACCACTCTGGTAATATCTTCGAACACAAAATTCTAACGTGCCAAACGTTACTGCTCATTTGAGAAAATACAATTTTTCTACCTGGGTGCTGTTTTTTTTTATTTGAGACTTCAATGAGGTATTGAAATCCATTTCGTTTCTCGTTCATTGGCTTATTTTTTCTGTTTCATATTTATGTTTCAAATGACTCTTTTCATAATGAAAATATGATAAATCATGAAAACTTTTTGTATTTCAGTTGATTTACTAGCCATCACAGGCGATTCCGCATTGACATGGGCATCCCCAATGTATCCAAAACTCTACTCCAACGATACATCCGTAAATCCACTAGGTCGGCCTATAACATCAGAAGAAGATTCTTGGATCGGCTCCCTCTTGAACTTTGGGGCAGTCATTGGTCCATATCCCTTCGTTTATATAGCAGCAAAATTCGGAAGGAAAGTAGGCCTTCTATGCTTAGCCATCCCGCATATAATATCCTTCCTAACACTGGCTTTTTCTGGCAATATATATTCCTATTATTTTGCTAGATTCATAGGAGGGATGTCTGTTGGTGGAGGATATTCTCTGCTGCCCATGTACATTGCAGAAGTGTCTAGGGATGCTAACAGGGGGGCAATGTCCCTCACGCTCAACGTTTTCTGGGCCATTGGCAACTTCATGCCATACGCAATTGGTCCATTTGTAGCCAGCTGGACTTTCAATTCAATCATAGCTGTGATACCAATAACATTCCTCATCCTGTTTGTGTTCATTGGACCAGAGTCACCATATTATCTAGCACAGGTTGGCAGAACTGAGGAAGCGGAGAAATCCCTAAGGCTTCTTGGGAGAAAAGATGTCAAACAAGATCTCCATGGTATTCAAACGTATTTGAAGATGAATGAGAGAGGAAGTATTCTAGGTATCATCAAAGACAGAAACTTGAGAAAAGCTTTCATCATTTGTATGGTTCTTGTAGCTGCCCAGGAGCTTTCCGGCTTTTGCGCAGTAACCTACCATTTGACGTTGATTTTCGATTCAGCTGGTACTGATATATCTCCTGACATATCAGCGCTCATCGTTGGCTTTACAATCTTTGTATCTAGCTTCATCTCCCCATTCCTAGTGGATAATGCAGGAAGAAGGCCCTTAACTATATATTCATGTGCAGGGATGTGTGTAGCACAAATAATGCTGGGTGTATTCTTCCATTTGCATGACTACACGGATGTTGAAGCAAAATGGATACAGTGGATCCCTTTAACAGCACTCATTCTTTATATTCTATTCTTCAATCTAGGGATATCTACAGTCCCTTGGACTCTCACCGCCGAATTGTTCCCAAACAATGTGAGGGAAGTTGTGGCTTCAGCCACTTCGAGTTTCTGCTATCTAGTATCATTTGTGACGACTAAAACTTTCAATGACATGAATGACTCGATGGGGTCCCCTGGACCATTTTGGATTTTTGGAGGCTTGTGCTTTTGTTGCACTATTTTCTCTATCATGTATGTTCCAGAAACTAAAGGAAAAAGCTTTACTGAAATTCAAATTATTCTGAGACAAACATCAGCAGATAGGAAGGAAAAGAAAATAATGTCTTCATTGTCCCGTTTATTCAAACGAATGTGCTTCATGAGTTGACATTGAAACAGAAAGTTATAAAGAAATACTCTTCGTGGACATTGGGTCAAATAGGTTATGGAAAGTCATTAGACTCCGAAAGTTTCATCAAACTATTATTCTGATAACATAACCAAAATATGATCGAATAAAAGTGAATATAAAAAAGTTGTCAGAATTTTTGTCATTTCATTTTTTAATTTAGAGTGTATTTCATAAACTGAGAAAGAAATGAATGATCCATGATGGCCGAGAGCAAGGCAATAACAATTAACAGTGCTAGGATGGATCGATTCCTCAGGTTTGACTAGCACAGGACATGGAGGTAAACACATATATACAATATGATGTACAGAGCAGAAAAAGTATTACCTTCAGGTAGTTCATGGGGTCATTTAGCAAAATTAAACGAATAATAGTCTATGCAATGCAAACATTTTGAGCATCTAACCATCATCTGATCTTAATTCATGTTTCACCTATCAACGGATTAAATATTTCAGTACGTTATTTTCGATCGTTCTTAAACATGCGTCTGCGTTTGCTTTGACTGCTTTCACTTTCCATATCGCTCACAGTTCACAGTAAAAAATTAAACTGATTTATAATGATATATTTCTTGTTTCAGTCCTCAAACAAATCCTTTGGCTTTCACCTGATATAAATTTTGGCAGCGCTTTTGTTCGATTTAAATACGGTGATGAAAATAAATGAGCTGGCAAAGGGTGGAAAATCAAAATTTGGAAAAATATCAATAATATTATTGCATCGAGTACAACATTCTCTCAAGGTGAGGTACTATCTCCTCTTCTATGGTCGCTCCTGATTAATAGTCTGCTTGATGCCCTCTACAGAAGAAAAGTAGATCTACAAGCTTATGCAGATGACTTTGTCATCTTGGCAAGGTCCACATGGGGAAGGATATCTTGTAATATCCCCCAAAGCACGATGAACGTTGTTCACAGATGGTGCCTGAGGAAGCTGATGTCTGTCAACTCCAGCAAAACTGTGATAATCCACTTTACCAGGAGGAGAGGTTGGATTATCTAACGGCACTTTCCTTCAATTGTGAGGCCATTCTATTTGGAACGGAGGTGAAATATCTTGGCATTGTCCTTGATGAAAACTTACCCGGAACGCTCACTTGAGAAAAGTTTTACACAAAGCCAGACTGTCCCTATGTCGAACGATTTGTGATGAAACTTAGGGTTTAGGTCCCAAACAAATCCATAGGATTTATGTGATGATTCTCAGACCAATGATCACTTATGGTGCAATTGCCTGGTGGCCGAAGGCTTTACAGGAAACGGCCCAGAAAAAGCTGGCTTACAGAGACTGGCTTGTCTGGCCATCAGTGGTGCCATCAGTACCACACCGTCAGAGGCCATGGATATCCTTCTAGAATTGCTCCACATTTTTCTGGATAGAAAGGCTAGATGGACTGCATATAGATAGATAGAAAGATAAATTTATTCAGGTAATTACATATTTTCATAATGGTATAACAATGAATGAAAAAATAAACAATTCTGAAGGCTGATCTACCTATGCAGAGCTTGAGTTGTAGTATCAACCTATAAACATATACATACATGAACACATACATATAAATGAGGTATCGTTGTTGCATAATTAAGCAAAGACTCATACTGACAATGTGAATACGACTGATACAGATAGTTGGAAGGAAGGGAAACTTGTGGAAAGTTGAGTAATATTCGAAGAGAAGGTGACGTTGGATTGTTCTACCAATTCAAGATATTACCTACAATAAGATGCAGTTTATATTCATAGCTTAGAGTTTTGATCCACATGTTCTTTCAGTTTTGACTTGAGTTTGTATTTATTGGAGATTGCTCTAATGTCTGAAGAAATTAGGTTTATTAGTGAACATTGCCAATTGTACAAATCAATTTAATGCAGAGTGTAAGAGACTGTAGGTTGATACTGGAAGTCACAGCATTCTGGAAATGACCTCTGACTTCATGCCTTCAACTGTCAACTACGAACTGTCTTATAAAGTACTGTTCCCGAGTAGAGAGGACTGGGTCCGTCGGAGAAGGAAATATAAGGAGCAGATAGTTGTTGGTTCACAGATGGATGGAAAACACCTCCCGGTTCAGGTGCAGGTGCTATCAGTCGCAGACCCAGCACAGAAATATCAACCTGCCTAGGAACCTATGCTACTGTATTTTAAGCGGAAATTTATGCTATTGAATTATGTGCGGAGAGATTGGAAGAATCCAACCTCATACACAAATCAATAAAAATATTCTCTAACAGTCAAGCGGCATTGAAAGCTCTTGGCTTCTACCGAGCAACGTCTGAATTGGTAGCAAATTGCCAAAAACGACTCTCATCGATAGAAAGGCTCAACAGATTGTCTGGTCTGGATTCCTGGCCTACTGGCCTGGAAGGCAATAAGGCTCTCCTGCAAAGGAGGGTGCTGCACGCAGTTTCATCGGACCTGAACCTGTCATCGCTTTAGGCATGGCTTCGCTAAACAAATATTGACTTCATGAATGGCAAGAAGATTTATGGACTTCTGGCAGAATCTTCCAGGATTGGCTCACTCCAAGGCATTTATTCACCCTTCGAAGCTTGATACCAAATAGTTATTGAACTACAATAGGGATGAACTACGATGTCTAACAGGCCTTCTTAGAGGTCACTGTCATTTAAATCATTATATGCAGAGCAGTACTCTTAGTATCTGACCTAAAAGAACACTCACCATACAAAATTATCGACTTCGTTGAGAAGCTGAATTTATTTGGTCGAGTGTGAATAGTTGTGAGACACAATAAACCCTCGCGGGTTGCGGTGGAGGGTTGAAGAGACAAACTCACACATTTTGGACCTAACCTAACGTAACCTAACAACATTCTCTATCGATTAGTATATATAATGCACAAAACTTTTGAAACAACCTAATGAGTTGTGAGAAAAATTAAATGGGTCGTTATCATAAATGATTTGATGTTCAGAAACCACCACTAGTAATTGAACGGAGTTTAGGATATTCAACAAGTCTTCCTGAATGATTGGAATAATTTTTGAAATCGTTATTTTCTAGAAATAAAAAGTTTTGGTATTCCACTTTTTCATCTCCATACAAAAAATGTGGCAAACTTTCTAAGAAACAAACTGAACAATAGATTTCAAAATAAATTATTTAAAAAAATGTGCCGATCATGCAAATAAATAAGTTTCAGATACGAACTGGAAATAACTACGTTCATATAAACATTAAATCATACTTTTGAAACTACTACTTCTAGGTACAAGAACATCGAACTGATGAAGAACACTTCATCCTCATCAGTTTGTACTTCAAAAAGTCGTTATGAAATTGAACCAGATATCATTCACAGAATTGCTACATTGGAAAGAAGAGTTATCTTGATGAATATCAAACTTGAGGGTGATACTGTTGAAAAAGTAATATGTTATGCATTGGTTTTTGCTTCAAAAACTGCCTCTGCCTTTTTGAGTTAACTATGTTTCTCAAAAACAAACAATACCTTCATATCATTTAACCTCATTAATACAGACTGGATCATAGATTCGAATTATACACATTTTGGCTAGAACGGTCTGATTTCACTCGTCGGTGCCGTATTTCGTTACGAGAAAACTTTTCGATGCTGTTTTTAGAGTTACGGAGATATTCACCAGTAACCCCTTGATACAACTTTTTCACGTGAAATTGATAACTCGATCACGTAGCGGAGCCAACACTAATACGTTTTCATTTCACTCTCTGTGCAGTAATAAAAACGTATTCAGGGATACGTTGCAAATAGAACTGATACTGATGCGATTTGTAATGCATATCACGTTCTCTCAATGCGGGCGTACCAACATTTCAAATGGTGGAGTGATTCACTTCTTTAGTTTAATTTCGCGGGATGTTCCAATTACCGATTTTCCACCGTTCTCGTTTCAGCATTCAGGTAAACTCACTTTGAAGCTTCCAAATAGTCTGTGTAATTGTAAAAGTATTCGATGAAAATTGACACTCAATTGAAGATATAAATCAACCAGGAAAGTTTGATATTGATATTGTCGCAACTCAATGCTCGCTTGGCTAATTAATGTTATTAACTGTTATATTGCCACACAGCAGGATTGAAGAAACAGGAGATGGGCTGCATTACTGGAACCTATTCTGAAGATCAATAGATACTAAATGAATTTCTCCATACTGTCTCTTTATGATCTTGACCTCTCTAAATATTTATGAAGATTTATATGCTGACATTGCAACTTTGATCCGGTCACTGTACTAAGGTAAAATGCTCGGTATACAATATGTGCAAAGTTTGCGTATTTGGATATTGTTTTATATTTCTATATCCTGTGATCATATCAATTTCGATGTTTATGAACTTGAAATATTAAAAGATAGAATTCTGAATACCTAGTGTTTTTGTAATATGGAAGTTGAGTTTGGAACGTTTTTCAATTCAGGTATTCGCCTAAATTATTTCATGATTATTTTCCGTATTTGACAATATGTCTTGGTACAATCACATACCAGTGGTTCCGTCTGGTTCCGTCTTGTCTTGTCTCCAAACGAGACCATATAACGTTATTTATAAAGAATTATGTGTTAGTCAGACGAGTAACTGGATCAGGAAGAGAAGAACGAAGAAAACAAGAAAAATGTCAAGGGGAAAGTTGCATTTTCAAAATTCTCATTCTCAGTTCCTTGCTTCAAACGTCAAACTATTGAATAAATCAAGGCCGTTGTCTCCAACTAGGGATAAAAAACACGCCACCTATTTATCCTTAACTCATCCAAATCTGTGACCTTTGCAAATGAATAAAATGTTTGAGAATTTCTCCTTCAGTTTTCTGAAATATTTTCATCTAGCACAAGCGACTCGAGAGGTTTGAAACAGTTTTCCATTTTGGCACTACTAGCAGCACGTTTTTTTCCGATCAGTAAACAAGAGTCCAATCGAGGAAAAGGAAACAAGCTTGGAAAAACACTATTTCTGTTCTACACCCAGCAAGTTGCGAAGGTTCTTCAATAACCTGGCACCATTTATAACTTGTTGCTGCAGGGAAAACTAATGAAGCAACTTCCGTAATTATGATCATATATTGTACAGCTAGTTATGTCTCTCTCTATCCATCTCTTTAGGTTTATTGGACGTTGCTTTCGACTCG